GGCATTGTTAACTAAGGTAGTAAGATTGTTGGCATTAAGCAGACTGGGTTATCGAATAGCTTTGATTGGTTTGTCTTACAGAAAGCTAGAGCTATTCTTGCAGATTGTACTCAGAATCAGAAAGAGCTTTATTGCCAAGTATGCTTGCACATACAAGGAATTTGTTATAGTGTCACAAGCTTCCAGTACACGTTCACATAAGTCCCTGTTTTGTCCAGATATTGCAGGATGGAGTGCAGTCCCATATTGACTGCATCATCCACGGACCTGTTTGCTCGGTAAGCAAACTGCAGGGGGTCTAGTAAGGGTCCAGTAATGTCCTTCAGATAAGCCAACACCAACCTCTCAAATGTCTTCATGACCACAGACGTGCTGGGGGATGCTGTCTTGTAGTTGGTGATGTCCTTCAGGCCTTTCCACACTAATGCAGGCTCATTCCCCCCTTTTGTAGGCGTCCTCTTTGGCCTGACGAAGATGACAAAGTTTTGCTGTAAACCATGGCTTATCATTGTTGAATGTTAAATGAGTCCTGGTAGGGATGCACATGTCTTCACAGAAACTGATATATGATGTTACAGATTCCGTGAGCTGATCGTTGGTGGCTGCTTCAAAAACACTCCAATCAGTGCAGTTGAAACAGGCTTGCAATGCCTGCTCTGTTTCGTTGGTCCATCTCTTTACAGACTTTACTACAGGTTTAGCAGATTTAAGTTTATGCCTGTAAGTCGGTATAAGATGAACCAGGCAGTGGTCAGAGAGTCCTACAGCTGCTCTGGGGACCGAGCGATATGCATCTTTTATTGTGGAGTAACAATGGTCCAGTATATTACTGTCTCTGGTGGGACATGTAACATGCTGTCTCAACCCTGCCTTCTGTCTCTTTCTCTCTTCCCCCCTCTTCTACCTCTAAGCCTGTCCCTCTCCCTAGGTCCCGGGTGAATCTCCCACCTCGAGCGTAGCACCGATGGAGGGGTGGTCCGGCGCCGGAGTCTGCTGGACTGAGGCCCCTCTCCAGGAGGTTAACCCTCCAGTTAACCCGCACCTCAGGCATCCGCTAATTCTGGGAACCACTTATTGGGGTATTTGTGTGCGGATGTCTCTTGGGAAAAGGAGAATCAGGGAGGGGAGGCGGCCGTGCAGACGGGGGAGGTGGAACTGACCGATGCAGCGAAAGGGGAACAGAGCGCTGCCGAGAGGCTAATCCTCCCGGAGCGTGATGATTTTCCCCTGGAGCAGTCTCGGGATGAGATGCTGAAAAATGCGTTTGAACAAGTCTGCTCCATTGACGGACAGCCTCTCCAGCCGGCACGGCCCCCTTCTTACCCCTATTTTGCTATTTTAAAAGATAGGTTGTATCGAGTGACCCAAGACACTCAGACAAAACAAGATACAACTCAGTTGTTAGTTCCTAAAAGCCGTCGGGAAATGCTTTTCCAGGTGGCTTATTGTAATCCTATGGCAGGACATTTGGGACAGGCAGCGACTTTGAACCGTTTAATGGCCGATTCTTTTGGCCGGACATTCACCAGAATGTGCGCAGGTGGTGCGCGGCTTGTCATGAATGTCAGTTAGTGAATCCCCCGGCCTCCCCAAAAGCGCCATTGCACCCTATTCCTCTTATGCAGGTCCCCTTCGAGAGAATTGGTATGGCATCGGGCCATTAGAACGGTCAGCACGGGGCCATCGCTTTGCATTAGTCCTCGTGGATTATGCAACGCGATATCCTGAGGCAGTGGCACTCTGCAACATTTCCGCAAAAAGTGTGGCGGAGGCCCTGTTTCATATAATCTCCCGAGTGGGGATCCCGAAAGAGATCCGACCAATGCACGGCGTTTAGGTCACGTACAATATGCGAACTTTACGAATTATTGGGCATTAAATCGGTCCGCACCACTATCACCCACAAACAGCCGGTCTGGTGGAACGATTTAATCGCACTTTGAAAACCATGATTCGAAAGTTCGTTCACGAAGACGCCAAAAATTGGGATAAGTGGCTGGAACCCCTTTTGTTCGCTGTGCGTGAAGTCCCGCAAGCCTCTACGGGGTTTTCCCCCTTTGAGCTCCTTTTTGGTCGCCAGCCCCATGGGGCTTTGGATGTCCTGAGAGAGGCTTGGGAGGAGGGAACTTCGGATAGCAAAAACGAAATTCAGCATGTACTGGACCTGAGAACAAAACTCCACACTTTGGGGCAGCTCTCTATGGAGAATTTGTTACAGGCCCAGGACAAGCAGAGTCCCTGTATAATCGGGGAACCAGATTACATGATTTTGCACAGGGAGATAAAGTGCTTGTATTACTCCCTACCTCTAGCTCTAAATTGCTCGCCAAGTGGCAAGGACCCTTTGAGGTCACATGGCGGGTGGGAGATCTCAATTATGAGGTAATTCGATCGGACAGGAGTGGGGGACGCCAAATTTACCATCTTAACCTCCTTAAAAAAATGGAGCGAGGTGGAACCGGTGATGCCCGATAGTTTTGGTACCTCGGTTCGGTTCTGTGTGGATTATCGCATTCGACGCCTATCCAATGCCACGGGTTGACGAGTTGCTTGATCGGCTGGGTGCAACTTGCCTTTATTCAACACTGGACTTAACCAAAGGATATTGGCAGATCCCCTTATCGCCCCTATCCAAAGAAAAGACAGCCTTCACAACGCTGTTTGGATTACACCAATTTGTTACCCTTCCTTTCGGGTTGTTCGGGGCACCGGCCACTTTTCAGCGGCTCATGGACAGAATCCTCCGGCCGCATGCCGCCTATGCCACTGCCTATCTAGATGACATAATTATTTACAGTCAGGATTGGCAGCATCATATGGCGCATCTGCGGGCTGTCCTACGAGCTCTGAGGGGGGCCGGGCTGACGGGCAACCCAAAGTGTGCGGTTGGGCGTGTGGAGGTCAGGTATCTGAGCTTCCACTTGGGTCATGGACAGGTGCGTCCCCACATTAGTAAGACGGCGGCAATTGTGACCTGTCCGAGGCCCAAGACCAAAAAGGAGGTGAGGCAGTTCCTGGGGCTGGCAGGATATTATAGAAGATTTATACCTAATTATTCGGACCTTACCAGCCCGCTGACTGACCTCACTAAAAAGGAAGCAATTATGAGGTAATTCGATCGGACAGGAGTGGGGGACGCCAAATTTACCATCTTAACCTCCTTAAAAAAATGGAGCGAGGTGGAACCGGTGATGCCCGATAGTTTTGGTACCTCGGTTCGGTTCTGTGTGGATTATCGCATTCGACGCCTATCCAATGCCACGGGTTGACGAGTTGCTTGATCGGCTGGGTGCAACTTGCCTTTATTCAACACTGGACTTAACCAAAGGATATTGGCAGATCCCCTTATCGCCCCTATCCAAAGAAAAGACAGCCTTCACAACGCTGTTTGGATTACACCAATTTGTTACCCTTCCTTTCGGGTTGTTCGGGGCACCGGCCACTTTTCAGCGGCTCATGGACAGAATCCTCCGGCCGCATGCCGCCTATGCCACTGCCTATCTAGATGACATAATTATTTACAGTCAGGATTGGCAGCATCATATGGCGCATCTGCGGGCTGTCCTACGAGCTCTGAGGGGGGCCGGGCTGACGGGCAACCCAAAGTGTGCGGTTGGGCGTGTGGAGGTCAGGTATCTGAGCTTCCACTTGGGTCATGGACAGGTGCGTCCCCACATTAGTAAGACGGCGGCAATTGTGACCTGTCCGAGGCCCAAGACCAAAAAGGAGGTGAGGCAGTTCCTGGGGCTGGCAGGATATTATAGAAGATTTATACCTAATTATTCGGACCTTACCAGCCCGCTGACTGACCTCACTAAAAAGGAAGTTCCAGATCCAGTCCAGTGGACGGAGCTGTGTCAGCAGGCTTTCACCCAGGTAAAGGCTGCTCTGTGTGGCGAACCGCTCCTACACTCTCCTGACTTTTCTCTCCCCTTCTTGTTGCAGACAGATGCGTCGGACAGGGGGCTGGGAGCCGTCCTGGCCCAGGGGATAGAGGGTGAGGAATGGCTGGTGCTGTACATCAGTCGGAAGCTCTCTAAGAGAGAGACGATGTACAGTACCATTGAGAAGGAGTGCTTGGCGATCCGGTGGGCTGTTCTCACCCTCTGCTATTATCTCCTGGGTCGGGAATTCAAGTTCAAGTTCAAGTTCAAGTCTGCTTTATTGTCAATTCTTCCACATGTACAGCACATACACACAGAGAATTGAAATTGCGTTACTCTCAGACCCTTGGGTGCATACAGATAACATAAATACAGATTAAATACAAAATACAACTATACAAATATACAAATAAGGTAAAATGTAAAAATATATATATAAAGCACAAGGCATATGGCAGATAGAGCATATGGCAGATAGAATTCACTCTCTGTTCAGACCACGTGCCCCTGCAGTGGCTCCACCGCATGAAGGATACCAACGTGCGGATCACCCATTGGTATCTGGCATTACAACCCTTTAAAGGGGTCATATGATGCTTTTTTAAAGATCATTATTTTATGTATTTGGTGTAACAGAATATGTTGACATGATTTAATGTTCAAAAAACACATTATTTTTCAAATACTGAACATTATTGTAGGTCCTCTATGCCCCGCCTCTCTCAAACGCTTGAAACAGTCGTCCATAAAATGCATTGCTGTTCTGTTGTAAGTGATCTTAAAGATTCCTAAATGCATCTACTTTCGGAAGGCCAAATAAAGTGCTTTTGCTTTCGCCTAGAAACACACAGCGTCTCCCTGACATGGCTGCATCAACACTAACTGCGGTTACTGAAACCACGCCTTCTTTCTTTGCGTGCACATTTGGGCGGCATTATGCTAATATTTCCACATAGTGAGGTAGATATGTGGGGGCGTGTTAGAACGAGCCGTTTTAGGGGGGCGTGGCAGAGTCTTAACTTTGATAAAGAATATCTCTTTGGTTTTGAGACTTTAGCTTGTAACACTCCAAAGAGAAAGGAAAACTTGAAATCGCATCATATGACCCCTTTAAATTCAAGGTGGTCCACAGGCCGGGTGCACAGATGGCTGTAGCTGACTTTCCCTCCAGAAATGGGGGGGGGGCTGCAGGCCGGAGGGCTCCCCGGGCTGAGTCGGGCGGTGGGGGTATGTGGCGAGCGGGGCGTGGTTCAGCGAAGTCTGCAGCGGGAGAGAGGGGCGGGAGATGAGCGGTGAGCAAGTAGGTCAAGTGCAAAATGATAAACACCTGTATCTGATTGCAGTAATTGGCCTGGAGAGACTGGTTAAAAAGGCAGACTGGAGAATGTGGAGGAGAGAGAGAGATGGGGACTCGTGGGCATCGCTCAGCCAGAGAGAGAAAGCCTGAGGAACTGAATTTATGCCACTGGCAGTGTGTGAATGCGCTGGAAGCGCTACTTTTGTTTTTGTTCAAGTTTGAGTTACTAAATAAAGATCCATGAGTCTCCAAACGCCCACCTGGTTCACTTCCTTCCTTCCTCCTTACGAACTGTGCTACAGATATGCTTACAAATTTTATTCTGCACAAAAAATTTCCCTCCGGGCTTATAATAAACATTGAACCTTGAAACTTGAACCCTAGTAACACAGACCTATGATCTGTTTTGCTTGAGAACCTATGATATAGCTCTTTCCCCTTAACTCTCAGTAAATATCTTGCAAATGCACAAGAATGAGGAAAAAAACAATTTCTAAATCCAAAAACTATAATAGTTCAACAACAATTATCATGCATGAAAGGCATTACTCACAGTAGGTGATTTGAAGCCTTTAATATATTCTGTAAAGTATTATTCTGAGAGTGGTTGTCTAACCTGTAGTAACAGATGATATTTGAGGATCCTCTGGACAGGCTTGAGAAGGTAAGATCCTAGAGGCAGGGATCGCTTTAAAGCAGCTTGCCTCTCTCTGAAGAACATGGCAAGAGTTTTGCTCCTCATGCAGTCTGTTAGAGCAGCCACAGAGCTATGGAGAGAGAATGAACAGTCAAAACACAGCACACCATACTAACAAATACATCACTATACAAACTGATAACAATCAACTCACATAGAACATTAAACAATAACTCTCTGACAATTCATTAATCATCAAATTTACAAAGAAAATACAAAATACTCCAAACAGAAATAGCACCAACAGTAAGACTGTACTACCTATCCCTCATGTGCAGAGGTACTATTGACTATTGATTGGTGGTTGACTTGTAGTAACGATGACACCTACATCCTCATCCATCTAAAACTGTACACATCACATTATACACATAACTCTGATTTTTAAACATAATGCAGTTTTTTTAATAGCATTGTTTTATGTCTGTTCTTGATTTTACTATACACTGTAAAAAAAAAAAAAAACTGTAGTTTAAAAAAAATTATTTTGGCAGCTGACCGCTGTGGTTGCCAGAATAATTCTGTAAAAAATACAGAAAAACCTGTAAACACATTAACAGAACAAACTGTAAATTACTGAATACAACTGTAATTTACAAACAAGAAAATGTAAATGTAAACCAGTAAATTCAACAACACACACTGCTACTAAAATCAGTTTCGTACCTTTAACATATACTGACAACCACCATAATAATGCAGGTGTTAAAGAGAAAGCCACATGAAGAATCAAAAGTTCATCACAAGTAGCTTTCCCACAAGCTTAAGTATACTATTATACAGAAGGTGCATTTATACAGAGTCATTCACACAAACACAAACACACTGACACTTAAATAACGCAATAACCATTCATTAAAGGGTTAGTTCACCAAAAATGAAAATTAGCCCATAAATTACTCACCCTCAAGTTATCCTAGGTGTATATGACTTTCTTCTTTCAGACGAATCCAGTCAGAGTTATATTAAAAATGGTCTTTGATCTTTCAAGCTCTGTAATGCCACTCAGCGGGTGTTGCATGAATCAGTCCAAAATAAGTGAAATAAAAAGCGCCCATCCATTAAAAAAAGTGTCTCACACGGCTCCAGGGGGTGAACAAAGGCATCCTGTAGCAAATCAATGTGTTTTTGTAAGTAAAATATCCATATTCAAAATGTAATAATCACTTTAATGTAGCTTGCGCCAACAGTTGTCGTATGAGCTCACCATTGCGCATGTGCCGGTGAGTCTCGTGAAAACCAATGTTTGTTAACAGGAGCAAAGGAAGCAAAGTTTCCTTACTTTAGCAAAGGAAAACCAGTCTCCTCTTGGCTTATATCGAAATCCTCCGACATTCTTCTTTACAAATCCTCGTTTTGTACTTATAATTTGTGACCATTGCTTTGTTTTGATTTCTCCCCTGCGCTTCCGCGTTCGTCACTTCTGAGTGGTGCATGTGCAACGCCGACCTCACACGTCATCCGCCCGGAACTGCTTCCGTTTACAACTGTTGGCGTAAGCTAAACTAAAGTGATTATTAAGTTTTGAATATAGATATTTTTCTTACAAAAGCGCATCGATTCACTACAGGAGGCCTTTTTTCACCCCCCGGAGCCATGTGAGACACTTTTTTTTATGGACGGTTGCTTTTTATTTAACTTCTTTTGGACTGATGCATGCAACATCCGCTGAGTGGCATTAAACAGCTTGAAAGATCAAAGACAATTTTTAATATAACTCTGACTGGATTCGTCTGAAAGAAGAAAGTCATATACACCTAGGATGACTTGAGGGCGAATAATTTATGGGCTAATTTCCATTTTTGGGTGAACTAACCCTTTAAATAAACAGAAGATGTAACATAAAACCCAAATGCACATAACTGTTAAGAAAAACTATTAAGAAACATGATTACGGGAATTTACTGTTAACAGTTTTTTCCCCCATAGCATACAATATTTTACAGTTAAAATTACACTCATTTTTTACACTGTATTTTTTTTTCTGTAAATTGTTTTGCAACTATTTACTGCTGCTATGGTAGAAGAACTATTTAATTCATTTTACTGTTCCCACACATTGGTTCAGTAATGTCTGGTATTGACCCTGAATTTGTGTGCTTGTCCAGGCATTAAAAACCTTATTGGTCATGAATTTGACCAACCACTACATTAATATCAGTTACTGAATTGAAAAATACTTATATTGTTGATGCAGTTTAACCACGTTTAATGAATATTATGCATTAAAGTGTGAATCTCACAAATCCTGTCAAGAAATGTCAGGGTAATATTGTAACTCCTCCCATATTACCCAGAAACCAAAGGTGCTTTTTTTTGGTGCACGAAAATTATATTAATCTGACCACCTAGCCAGAGGCTCTTCAACATAATATGTCACTTTGGGCATTCAGTGCAACTTACTTTGGGTAGTTGGTGCAATATTGTGAGTAGATGTCAAAATATTCACGCTAAAAACAGAGATGAAAACAAAAGTCAGTAAGGCTTTTCTTAAAATGCATTCACAAGCAAATAGCCTCATTTACATAATTCGATTTCGAAATCATCATAAGCTGTTTATCTGGAGCTTGAAAATATCAAAGTTGTTTTCAAATAAAGATGTTAAAGTATTTAATGAACAAATAACCATAAACACTTATCATTAAAGTTATATTTCCTGTTTAGTTTTATAAACATATGATTTAAATATAATCAGATCTAAAGACTTGAAAGGTACTGGGTCAGCTTGAACGTCACCTTGATCACAAAGCATCTGGCAATGGCCACAGGATCATTGTCACACATGTCCAATGATTGAAGGAGCTCACTAAAAGAAAAAAGAAAGCATGTTTACAGACTAAAAAATAAATAAATTATTATTATTATTAAAACACCACATGCTCTGCACAATTCTGTAAAGGGAAACAGCCCCATTAGGGCCATTATAGCATTATGCTTGGAAAAGGCCTTGTGATAGAGAATTAGCAACACATGCAGTCTGCAGGTCATTCTTCTCTACCTGAGGTCAGTGAGAAAAAAAATGAACGTCTCTTATCACTCTTCATATGTCCATATGAAGGCAATGCCTTGATGGAGCACCTTAAATCTCTTTAATTGTATTAAAATAAAATCCCTTTAATGAACAGCAGCAAGTGGCTTTTCCCTCTTAAAAATGAACATGAAAAAAGACACTATTGTGTAGCAAATGCTTACATGTATAAATAATAATTGCAGTAACAGTAAATATCTTTTTTATAGTTGTCTCTGCATATTTACTTGGGATAGGAGAAAGTATTTCAATGTCAAAAAACTTGACATGACAACAAAGTGGGTTTTTGTATATACAGTACGAGCAGTTGCTCACAGTCTCAGGAATGAGCACAGAGTAACAGCCAATATCAATAGTTTGCCTAAATGATAAAGTACCTTTCTGCTTTTTGTCACCAAACCCTGTAGTATGCCTCCAGAACTAAAAATACAGTGCCCGTCTCATTGTATCACTCTGTGATACTTTTGTATCCTTTTTTTTTTATTTGAGGCTGGTTGCTCTACACTGCCATTATATGGATGAGCGTGAGCAGGATTTTTTTGAATATCTTCTTTTATGGTTTGATAAAGAAAGTAAAGAAAGACTGAATTATCATTTTTGGGTGAACTATCCCTTTACACTAAAACATAATTTTTTAGTGATTTGAAATGGCAAACAACAAATAATTGGTTTGCCATACTTTTAAAAGTTTTAAATTTTTAAAAAGAATACTTGATTGTTAGATTTACCATATTGTCTTTCATTTTAACTGACAGCTTTTACTTTGCCACTGTTATAAGAAATCTGAATCTCCTGTCCATTAAGTGTAGTTCAATCCATGTTTATATGGATTTGAAAGCAAAACTCGGGGCTTAGCTGACCACAGCAAACACCACAGCATACAGAGGTCCACACTTTCTGTGTCATGCATTTGTGACGAACCACAAACAGAAATATGGCAATTATTCACTCAATTACTGTATGATATTGAGGAGAAAAGTATCTCTCTGCAGTAAGACCAACACCTGACAACAGCTGAGCAGTCAATTATGTTCAAAAACAATTTATTGATGATCGGTTAGATGGGGAAAGGTGAAGAACCCTGTGTGTTCAAGGCTCCATAAAGCCTTTTTTAAGGAACAGCATGAGAAATCAAACGCATCTCGGTAAAAGCTCTAATATAGAATCACAGCTTTAAGCCACATATATGCTACTGATTTCCTAACATTAACAGATATAAGTAGATTCATAGACATTCTTTTACTGGAAAATGGACAAAAATATTAATGATCATTGTTACATCTCGGGTCTTTTGAATTGTGTATGTATTTCTGAGTGTGTCTGTGCAGGAAAAGGCGTGGCCTGTACTCAAGCCAGCAGAGATCCTGATTGGTCTGCTCCTGATTGGTCCTGTCCTGGTTCCAGTGAAAAGGACCTCCCCAAACACTCTAGGAGGCTGAATGCGTGCCATTTGTTTTGCTTTGTCTTGGGGTTCTTTTGTGATTGTGCGTACTGTGAAAAACTTGCTCTTGTTTTAGTTGATTTCCAATTGTATTTAGTTTAAGGGAAGTAGGGAGTGTGACGCCATTTCTTTTATATGGTTTGTTCTATGTTTTGGGTTAAGGGAGTTAGGGAAGTTGTGTTGTATTCTTTTTTAATGTTTTATTTTGGTTAGAGAATTGAAAGGGTATACTAAAATTAGTTAATTTTTGTTTGCTATTTTGGCCTTGTCCACTCCTAAATCTGTTCCCTTTGTTACTTATTTTCATTATAAGTTTGTTAATAAATCTTTTTTTTGTTTGATAATATCTTGGGAGTGAGTGCGCGTTTCATTTATGTTGCCACTGGCCCTAGACGGTCGTAACATAAATTGGGGGCTCGTCCGCCGGTTCAAGCTTTCTCCGGTTTGAACAACCAAGTTCAATACACTGTAGACAAATGGACTATTCGATCTAATGAAATTTGCCTTGTTTCTTATTGTTTTCCTTGGGAATTTTGCTTTAAGGGGAGGGGATTTTGGCAGAGGTTTTGAAATGTCTTCTAAATTTGATTTGGAGGAGTTTGCAATTCGGCCTTCGGCACAACAATTAGAAAAATGTCGTAAAGATGACTTATTTGCAATCGCAGATTTATATCAGATCAGGGTGCCTCGGAGTGCGGTAAAGAGCGAGATTAAGGAAGTGGTGGTGAGACATATGGTGGAGAATGGGATCTTGCCAGAGGAGGGCGAGCTAGCAGGTGTTGCAAACCTAATAACGAGTTCTGTGGGTGAGGGAGCGGAGCAGACCAAACCCGAGGAACCATTTAGCATAGATCCTGCTGAGCTGCCATCTCCACGCGACCCATTGTTGACTATTAAATTAAAGGAGCTTGAGTTGGAATTAAGTCGGCAGCAGTATCAAAGTCAGCTGTTGCACGTAAGAACAGTCGAGCTTGAAACTCAGCGTGCAATTCGTCTGAAGGAGCTGGAGCTTGAGATTAAAACTAAAGTTCCTAACAAGCCTCCAATTACTGGTCCACCCGGAGCTAGTACACCTGTGGCTCCTCCGATCAACACCTCCAACTCCTGGTTCTGATCCTGTGCCTCGATGCGATTTGCAAATAAGTTAAAGGTTCGATATTAGTAAACAAATTGCATTAGTCCCGCTCTTCCGTGAAAGTGAAGTAGATACATACTTTACTGTGTTTGAACACATCGCCGCCACGCTTCAATGGCCGCGAAATGTTTGGCCACTGCTATTGCAGTGTAAGCTTGTTGGGAAAGCTCAAGAAGTTTGTTCGGCCTTGACTCTTGAGCAGAGTTTAGATTACGATGTAATGAAAAATGCTGTGTTGCGCGCCTACGAATTAGTTCCTGAAGCATACCGTCAAAAGTTTAGAAATAATGAAAAATCCCCCAGACAAACGTTTGTTGAATTCGCTCGTGACAAGGCAAGTCAGCTGTTGCACGTAAGAACAGTCGAGCTTGAAACTCAGCGTGCAATTCGTCTGAAGGAGCTGGAGCTTGAGATTAAAACTAAAGTTCCTAACAAGCCTCCAATTACTGGTCCACCCGGAGCTAGTACACCTGTGGCTCCTCCGATCAACACCTCCAACTCCTGGTTCTGATCCTGTGCCTCGATGCGATTTGCAAATAAGTTAAAGGTTCGATATTAGTAAACAAATTGCATTAGTCCCGCTCTTCCGTGAAAGTGAAGTAGATACATACTTTACTGTGTTTGAACACATCGCCGCCACGCTTCAATGGCCGCGAAATGTTTGGCCACTGCTATTGCAGTGTAAGCTTGTTGGGAAAGCTCAAGAAGTTTGTTCGGCCTTGACTCTTGAGCAGAGTTTAGATTATGATGTAATGAAAAATGCTGTGTTGCGTGCCTACGAATTAGTTCCTGAAGCACACCGTCAAAAGTTTAGAAATCATGTAAAATCCCCCAGACAAACGTTTGTTGAATTCGCTCGTGACAAGGCATATTTGTTTGAAAAATGGTGTACTGCGAATAAAGTCACAACTCTAGAACAACTCAAGGAGTTAATATTGCTGGAAGAGTTCAAAAATTAACATTTTTTTAATTTATCTGAATGAACAGAAAGTGTCTACTCTTACAGAGGCGGCTGTTTTCTCTGATGAATTTGTGCTCACTCACCGAGTAGTATTTTCATCACCTACTAAGCGTAATCCTACGGGTTGTACACAAAATTTTAAAGATGTGACCGTGATTAAAGAGAATTCAGTTAGTGACAATATGGAAAGCCGTGAATGTTTCTACTGCCATGAGGCTGGGCACCTCATTGCAGTTTGCCCTGCTTTGAAGCGCAAATCTGGCAGGAAAGTTAACCCTTCGAAGAGTGTAGCTTTAATTGACAGTCGCATGTCAGAACTCTCATCTCCTTTTATGGTTGAGTCCGCATTTGAACCATTCGTTTCTGATGGCATTGTATCATTTAATGAGGCGATGTCTGAAGCTAAACCTGTACATATTCTGAGGGACACGGGGGCGGCTCAGTCGTTCATTTTAGAAAGTATATTACCCTTTTCTACCCGTTCTAGCTGTGGAGTTGATGTACTAGTGAAAGGAATCGATTTGACTGTGATACTGTGATTACTGCACAATGTATTTCTACAGGCTAGCATCATTTCAGGGCTTGTTAAGTTGGCTGTTTGTGCCGAGTTACCGAGTTACCGAGTATCACTCATTCTTGGTAATGACTTGGCAGGTAAGAAAGTTTTCTGTTTACCTGAAGTGACTGATGACCCCGTTGACGTAAATAAAAGTAACGATGTGTTACGTGAAACATTTCCTGATGTGTTTGGTGCTTGTGCAGTGACTCGTGCTCAGTCTCGTAAGTTTGAGGAGACTGTGGATCTTTCCAAGTCCTTTATGTCTACTGAAGTTCCCATTCAAGGTGTAAAAGATAAGGTGAATGAGTTGAATGTGTGTGCTGTTCCTAATTTTAATCTGCCTTTAGGTAAACTTGAATTGATTAAATCACAGCATGCTGATCCCACTTTGATTCCATACTTCACAACTGCGGTGAAACAATCTGCCTTGCCGAAGCATTCTGTTGCATATTACTGCGATGAAGAGGTGTTGATGCGTAAATGGTCTCCACCTAAAACTGATGAGGATTGGAGTACAGTTTACCAGGTTGTGGTTCCAAAGCCATACTGACTGCAGGTATTAAGCGTTGCACATGAACATGAACTCTCAGGCCATGTTGGCATTAGGAAAACATATGATGGTTTGTTAAAGCATTTCTTTTGGCCATCTATGAAATCAGATGTAGTAAAGTTCTGTAAGTCG